ATTAAATGCTTTACTGTCTCTTTTGACCATTTGACCAATTTCTTGTTTCCTTGCTGAATAAAAGTATTTATTTCTGTAAAAAAAAAAAATCTTACCTACCCCAAACTTTTGAACCGTGTTTAAATAGACCACATTGTGCTGTTTTTAACCTTGTTCAGCTATTTCCGCATCCGGAGCGGAGGCCTCGCAACAGCCTGGCCATTTCCTAGACCTGCTGGCCAGCTCACAGAGCCGTCGGCTAGACGAGCAGCGGGCCAGTGTGGACAGTCTCCCGGGTCTCCGGCTGGACCAGCGCCACAGCCAGGATGTTCTCAGCAAACTCATGGCCTCAGCCGATAACAAAGAACCAGCTGAAGACTTCTTCGACATGCTGATTAAGTGCCAGGTTAATGTTGCTTATTATTAGGCTCCATGGAACCATTAACTCTTTTTGGAAGTGTATGTTCAATAGCTGTTTTTGGCTTGTACAGGGATCCAGACTGGATGATCAGAGATGTGCTCCTCCACCTCCTCCCACCAGAGGCCCTACAGTCCCAGACGAAGACTTCTTCAGCCTCATTCTTCGCTCCCAGGCCAAACGGATAGATGAGCAGAGAGTCATCTTATCATCAGAAACTAGACCCCTTCAGACCAATCCTGAATGACCTGTTCTTTATGAAGTCAGAATAGTATTTTAGGACCTTGCAACCCTTACTGAAGTCTTACTCATGAATCAATGCCTTGTTGAAAATCAGATCCTACAAGATGATTTCTCTTCTCACTTAACAAGATTTTTGAATCTTGAGATGCATGAAGTTCTTTCATTCTTCCTACTACCATGATCTTGAACTGGATTCAGATGTTTCTGTGCAGAAAAGACCAAGACCGCAGTCTCTTTCTCAGGGATTCAGTACTATGCACTGAATGCATTTCATTCACCTGGATAACTGGATGGACTTAATCAGCGGTAGATTAGGATGTCAGACTATTTTATATACACTAAATGTAGTATATCAGTTCTATTTTGATTCTTTCTTTGACTTGAAATGTTTTATCTATTTCTGCTCAGAAACAAGCAGTCTGCAAAAGTTTGGATTTATGTGAATATAAAATTCTGTTCTGGAAATTATATAAGTCAAGAATGTATTAATTTTAAACGACAAGAGGAATAAAGCCTCATTTATATAGATCCCTCTCAATATCACAAACTGACACAGTTTAGCATGCTGGAAATATTTTATTTGAAGCTGAAGCTACACAGGACAGAGTAACCAACACCATGATACAATTACTTGAGTAATTGAGTTTTCAATTGAGCAACAAGGTTAATGACTATTCAGAATTACATTTATAATCTTTCAAACTCATAAATGCCAATTCCCAAAAGACTACTAAAAAATCAGAAAAGATGAAAAGACAACATTGTCTTGTATAAAGCATTAGTGCAGTTGTCCGACATCATTATTAAATGCATTGTGAGAAGTTTAATGTTTACAGCTTGTAGGTTAAGAGAAACTAACAGCTGTTATCTAACTCTGCAAATCAATTCAGTGTGAGCGCTTTCTATTCAATGGAGCCATGACGTTTCATCTGTTTTGGTTATTTGATTGGTTTAACAGTGCTGTTTGACAACAATGTTGGTGAATCCATGCACCTGAGTGAGCTGAGGACAATCAAATGATGCCAGAAGTTTCTGTGGGCCGTGACACTTGGGAATAAACTTCTCCGTCAGGCACACTGTAGCATGCCCTGCAATGTCACTGTGAAAGAAAGAAAGCTTATTTAATACTACTGTGATTATTATATTTTACTCTTTTTTTTTTTTTTATTAAATAATCACTGTTTAGTAACAAATTCAGTATAATGCAAAATGAATTTATTATTTAAATAAAGAATTAATGAAATTAATTTGACCCATAGTTGACAACTCTGGCATGCTGCAGTCCAAGTCCCACAAAGCGGAATACAGTGTTCTTCAGGACACAAGGCAGTGGATTCTGGAAAGTGATTTTGACTGGCACTTCTTGTCCCAAGACAGCATCACATACAGGCTGAGAAGAACCACATATAAGACACAATTTAGCACTAAATTATTTCAACCAATCAAAGGATTAAGCAGTTGAACTGTAACTTTAAACTCACAGCGAGAACAAGATGTGGTGTGCGTATTCTGAAGCTGTACTGGGTGGCCAGAACCTGCTTAGTCTGAGCCACGTGTCCAAAGAGGTTGAGCATCAGTGAGGTGTGATCCACCAGCTGTTCCTTATACTCGTCACAACTCAGGGTCCATTCCAGAGGTTTGCCTATTGTGGGGAAAATGATGATAAGGAGAGATGATCAAAACTATTTTATGTTGAATGCAGCAAACTTCATGCAAAAGTACCATACTCAGCAGAGAACAAATCGGACCATTTTAAAGGCTTTCCAACATGAAATCAGGGTGTTGATAAGAAGGAAATGAAGACTCACCATGTCAGACACCACTCTGGAAATGTTGATGGGGCTTCCCCACCCTGAGCAAGGTGTACAGCTCTTCTCCAACACATACATACATGCAGGCAAGATTCCCTTCTCAAACTAAGAATCAGACAGAGGAGTGAGGAAGTTGGAAATTGAAAAAATTGTCATGCTATCTTGTGCATAAAAAAGTTATACAGTAGAGCTTATATATACTTATATATACAGTAGAGCTTATTGTATCTCAGATGGATGAGAAATGGGATGTGAAAAACATTTCCAGCAGCAACCCCACACCCTTGTTACTTATAGGCAGGGGTTCACACAAGTTTTTCAGCCTGGTTCTCATTAGAGCACCTGGATATTTGGTTTGGTCCTCACAATGCACATAGTGTGACCCATTAAATATAACTATAAAAAAAAAATTAATAATAGCGATAATAATATTATTGCAACTTATTTATTTAGTTAAAAATAAGCAAAATACTAAAGTGTGATAATACTATTATATTTTAAAATAAAAAGGGAGCATTAAATAAAAATTAGGGCTGTCGGTTTAATGCGTTAATTAATTCGTTATGAAAAAATAACGCGATTAAAATATTTTAATGCCGTTAACGCACTGGCCCCGCCCCCAGACCTGTACGTCATCTTACATTTCATACAGTGGACTGTTGACAAATATGATGCAGGGCAACAACTCCATAAATGCAGTTATGCCCTAATATTCAAGATGTTAGTGCAAAAAATGTCTCCGTATGAGTTTCTGTCTCATATTTATTTAATAGGATAAGCCATAGACCAGGGGTGCCCAAACTCGGTCCTGGAGGGCCGGTGTCGTGCAGCGTGCGATTAGGGTTGGAGCTAAACTCTGCAGGACACCGGCCCTCCAGGACCGAGTGTGGGCACCCCTGCCATAGACTATTACACGAGCAGCGAGAGCATATCACATGAGTGCTGTTTCTGTCACGAAGAACAAGTGCAAATGTGATTTTATACAACAGTTCAGTAGCCTAAATAAGAAGCAGTGTTGGGAAGGTTACTTTGGAAATGTAATAGGTTACAGATTACAAGTTACCCTATTTAAAATGTAATAGTAGTGTAACTTTTTCAATTACTTTATTAAAGTAATGTAATCTGAAGTTCAATGCAGATTTAAAATCATAAGAAATAGTTTACTGAGACTGTTTTTGAAACCAAATCTTTGCATAACCACAGGAAACACTGCATCTAACAATGGTTTGGAAAAAAAATAGTTAATTAAAAAATTATAATAAATAAAAGCATATACATCAACTCAAATACGGTTATCTAATAAGCATGTGTCCTATTCTGTGTACTAAACTCCTGAAACATTGGTGTCTCTTTGTATATGATATGATGATAGTTTTCTCAAAATAAGTAAAATGCTCATGAAGTTACTCAGAGCGGTTCTAGAGATTGTTTATGTGTTCATGTACTCATATATTGAGGAGGCTGAAAACACCATGAGCTTCTAAAAATAAACCTAAAAATAAAATGCTAATATTTACTTTTTAAATATGAATTTTCATCATTTTCAAACTTAAAATCAGTAAGCTTTTATTTTGGCTTTTATTTTTTATTTAGTTTAGCTCTAACCCTAATCAAACACACCTGAGCATGCTAATCAATGTCTTCAGGATCTTTCGAAAATCACAGGTAGGTGAGTTTGATCAGGGTTGGAGCTAAACTCTGCAGCGCATTGGCCCTACAGGACAAGATTTGAGGAACCCTGGTATAGACCAATTTGGAGTAGACGTCACAGTTATGTCACTTGCAGTCTGAACTTATTTACACAGCACAATTTTTATTTTGGTCGTGCATGCGCACCTGCTTATAGGATTACACACTAGAAAAAGAACAGTTTTGTCGTTTCTGCCGTTTTCCTGTGACGCACTCCCACTCCCACATGATTTAGGACAACTCCCACTTTAGTTAGTGGATTCACAGCATCTCTCTGACATACACATGAGTTAACAGTAGACACTTTTGTAATATATGAGTGAAAGTTTGGCTCTTACTTGACCAAAGTTCCATGTTTTGCAGGCAATCTGCTGCTTAGTTCCATAGTAGATTCTGCCCATGTCATTAAGAGCTTGTGCATGGGTTAACGCAAGGGTTGGTGTGAACCGGTGTGTAGCATGCTGCTTTCCTGCAGTCGTCCTCCTGCAGTTTAATGGCTGGGAAACGGCCAACGGTGCAGAGGTTTTTGTATGGGTTGTATGCAAAAGGCATGCTGGGCAAAAAAGAAAGAAATGAGAAACATGAGTGTGATCTGTAATTGGTCAGTAGATGATTAATAATTCATAAATAAGGTCTCTTTGTTCTTAGAAATCAGATTCCCAGTTTCTTCTTAAGCTGCAATTACTGGACAGCAAAAACATATCCTAACATGAGAACATTAGGCTGTTCCCAAAATTACCAGGCCAAAATCTTTAACTATATCAACTATACAATCATACCAGAAAAGGAAAGACTTAATAATAAGTTTCAAACAATGTCTGAGATGATTACTTACATGGATTTTGTCCTTGTCTGTTCAAGAGAAACTGAACCGAAAACTCGACGTGCTGCAGCAAGTGAACAGTAAGTCCTGCTTTAACCAGCTTGTCGCTCGTACTGTTTGTCTCTACAGCAGACGGGATATTTATACTACATCTCCATCTCCACCCCATCCACAGCTCATAGCTGAAGAGTGTGAATAATTGTCCTCTTAAGAAAGGGATTAAAGGATTTTGAGTCACACATGTCAATTGTAATGGTCTCTTTTAGAGAATTAGTGGGACAAATTAACATCTTAGTTTAATTGTTCTGAACCTTTAAACTTCAGACAGAGTAATTTTCTTGTCATTTTACAGACTAATACCATGTCTACAACGGACGCGATCAATGCAAATAAGATGTAGACAACAGTAATAAAACTATATGTATATATATATATTCTCAATTTGATTTATTCATTCTTACAGTATATCTTGAATTGCAGTATATATATTCGTTGCAGAATTGCAGTATATATGTTATTTTATTAGAAACATTCTGTAAGCAATGTCTGTATAATTTTTTAATGACTCCGTTTTTTGTTCTTGTTATATTAAGAGAGCAGTACAATGATTTTCGGCATTTTATGCAATGCCGAAAATCTTATTTATTTGCAAAATTAGCTCTGATGCATACAGTAATAGTGCATGAATATATTAAATGAAATTGCAGTATAGTTAAGAGTCCATTATTCTTACATTTATTCTCATGATTGTCAGAACAAGGACGACTATTTGATATATGACTGTTAGTCAGTTATTAAATAGAATGACTCAAAAAATTGAAAAGCTGAGAACATAGAGAAAGCAGAGTATAGAAATTCACATGCAAGAGAATTTATGAAAATAAAAACTGTTTAATTGTTATGTTTTATTCTTTAATTTCTTTTTTCCTTTTCCCTGACAGAAGATAAAAAAGTAGCTTCAGGCCCTGTAAATACAAGCAGCGGCCCCTGAATTGATGATAAGAGATGTCTCTTACTTGACAAGTGGAAGTAAGGAATATGATTTTGTAACTTCAAATCAGTATGTACCTTTGGATTTGATTTATCAACTATATTATACAAGGCATTGTCAAGTATGTCATGATTATTATTATTTTTTTTTTGGATAACAGAATTGCTGATCATGCCTGACCTGAACCTCATGCTCCACCCAGAAGTCATATGAGAAAATAAGGAGAAATAGCCTTTAATATGACTAATTAAATCAAAATGACCCAAAATCATCCATAAGTCATCAATCTAGCACATTTTTACAACAATGACTCTACAAGGGCTTTAGCAAATTGATATGACATAACTATAGTGTGTTTAGTCATTCTGGTCCGACTAGACAAAAAGTATAGAATCTGTTTAAAATCTATCTATCTATCTATCTATCTATCTATCTATCTATCTATCTATCTATTTTTGAAAGTGTATGTTCAATAGCTGTTTTTGGCTTGTACACCAGAGGCCCTACAGTCCCAGACGAAGACTTCTTCAGCCTCATCCTTCGCTCCCAGGCCAAACGGATAGATGAGCAGAGAGTCATCTTATCATCAGAAACAAGACCGCTTCAGACCAATCCTGAATGACCTGTTCTTTATGAAGCCAGAATAGTATTTTAGGACCTTGCAACCCTTACTGAAGTCTTACTCATGAATCAATGCCTTGTTGAAAATCAGATCCTACAAGATGATTTCTCTTCTCATTTAACAAGATTTTTGAATCTTGAGATGCATGAAGTTCTTTCATTCTTCCTACTACTGTGATCTGAATTGGATTCAGACGTTTCTGTGCAGACAGGATGCTTATATTCAGACCAAGACCGCAGTCTCTTTCTCAGGAATTCAGTACAATGCACTGAATGCATTTCATTCACCTGGATGGACTTAATCAGCGGTAGATTAGGGTGTCAGACCATTTTATATGTAAGGAAAAATTGATGACAGGCCATTGAATTATTAGAAAATAATGCACACCCGTGGTGGTGATCATACCGGTCAACATTCCAGTTTTTTCCCGGGAGTCTCCCGTACTTCACACCCATCTCCTGCCCCCCTCCCATTTTGCTATTTCTCCCGGGAAACTCCCATAATTTGTATGGATCAAACCTCATTATATAAATAATCACATCAATATATTATTCCAAGGATGTCCAGTTGCCAAATCTTGTATGAAACGCATCCTATTCACACAATCGAAACATCATACAAACCTCAACCCATTTGTGACCTCAACCTGGCAAGCTACCACCAGGGATGGGTAATATTTCAGATACATGTATTTAAAATATGTATTATCGGCTTGTCAGATAGTTTGTTCCATCACTGCCAATCATAGCAATGACTCACGGAACAATTTAGAGGATTCACTCGCATAATTTTTTACACTCGCGTTTGTCATTCCTGAAACAGTATACGGTTGTATAGCTAGTATACAGCAGTAGTCACCAACCTTTTTAAGTCCAAGATCGCTTTCTTCGGCCTTTATGAAAGACAAGAGCTGTGTCCGAAATCGCACACTCGATCACTCATTCACTAATCACTATAGTGTATGGCAGTTGAGTGCACTATATCAGAAAGGAGCAAACAAGATGAAGTGATTTATGTATTTTGAAAAGCCTTTGAAAAAAATCTAATGTAATTTGTATTTAAATACATTTAAAGGGGTCATATGATGTTGCTAAAAAGAACATTATTTTGTGTATTTGGTGTAATGAAATGTGTTTATGACGGAAATGTTACGCCCCTACCATACTGTGATGACGTGTCCCGGTGCGATGAGACAAAACCAATAAAACCCATTATAAATGAGGCATTTGTAGCATCCAGTGGGGACATAATTACTGATTATAATGACTTATACTGTC